TGAATTGTTAATGCATGTCACCATGAGAAAAGCCTACTGAGTTTTGCTTAAAAAACTTTTTTTTAAAAATTAAATAACTCATTTTTGTCTTGTGAACTTAAAAAGTTATTTGCCAAACAAACTTTTATTTGCACACATCAGTTATCTTTTGTTGTGATTTTAGGCCCTGCCCACGACGTCATGTGAGAATCACAAGCAAAACTTTGAGTCACAAACAAAAACTTAGAATAGCAAGAAAAGATTTCTGACATGCGCAAATAAGTTTGTTATGCAAATAATTTTTTCACTTCATGAGACAAAAATGTGTGATTTTAATTTAAAAAAAAGTTTTTAAAGCAAAACTCAGTAGGCTTTTCTCATGGTGACATGCATTAACAATTCAATTTTTGCTTTGTTTCTTTTTTCTGCAGTTCCACGTTAAAGTTTGATGCAGCTCTGCTTTCCTGAATGGACCATCTTCATCTCCACTGCAGCAAACAGGCAGCTCTGTTTTATAGATTACAGTCACTAAAAGGTTGCTTTGGGCCCTTGTTTATATTTTTAATAGTGTAATTCTGTAAAGACTAAATATGTAAATCAGAGCTAAACCACCAGCTCTGATTTACATATCTTGCCAAGTTGCGGGTTTGAATATTGCAATACTTTCCTATAACAAAATAGACCTGCAGAAAGAAATTACTAATAAAATATCTTACATATACATAATGTTATGCTCTATATAGAGATGTTCGTTAGCTTTGATTGTATGTCACAATTTTGTAATTTATCATTGTTTATTAAACTCTGAAAGCTGTGTGGCTTTGTTAATAGTCTGTCCTAGAAGGCGGTTAGCTGTGCCCTTTGTTGTTTTTTTTTTTTGAGCACCTGCCCCTATAGTGGTTTCTGCACGGCCCTGACTCAGAAATTACAGCGGCTGTGATGCGCCAAGGCAAAGGGGCATGTAATGGTAAAAAACAGGTGCACGGTGATAATCAACAGGGAAGACAGGACAGGAACAGGACTAAACACAGAAAACCTTAAAATAAATACTGTAAAAGCACTGAAAGCACAGATGATCTTTACAAAAACACAAACTTACTTTGGGACAAGTTCTGATGTAAGCAGCCTTCTCATCAGGGTATTTCTCAAGACGACGAGGTCCTTTGCTCGATGACTTCTTAAACACAAGCCAGCAGCGCCGATAGATCTGTAATGTGCATGGACACCCAGACAGACAGTCACAAATGCAAAAAAACTAATCACACCCTCAGAACCTTTTATTTAGTCCACCAGTGACTGAAAAATGTGCTAGTGTATACAAAAAAAGTTAAGAAGTTGGTTTCTGTGAGTCCAACAGCTGGTTTCTTACCTTCTGGAGACATGTTTTATCCAAATTATTTCATAATAAAAAGGTAAAAATACCAGAGAATAGGTGTTGGCTTGTGAGGTGTGGGCTGGTCTCAGACAGAATAGACTGAGAATAACTCACAACCCAACAAGCCAGCAGTATAGTAACAATAGTTTAAAACTTTAAATTGACTCCTGTTTAGTTTATGGATGGTTACATTGCTAAATAAATGTGGGTTGCAATATTAAATTACAACCCCAATTACAATTAAGTTGGGACGTCATGTGAAGCATAAGTATAAACAGAATACCTTGCAAATCCTTCTCACCCCATATTTAATTGAATTCACTACAAGATATTTAATGTTCCAATGGATATTTTATCAATTAAATGTATATTTATTGACATAGCAATTTGGAAAATAGTTCAAGATTTATAGAAATCATAAATCTAGGTGATGGGGGTTAAAAGACTCATTTAGCACCCTTTACCTTTGGAGCAGTGTTAAAACATTTTATTTAGTTGCAGTTATTTACCAATTATTATATATTGGGTTTTGTTGGGGCAAATATTCACTCATTTGAATGTTGATGCCTACACAATGTTCAAAAAAGGTTATGACAGACCAAGGAATCAATCCCTCTCGCAAGTCATGGGTCTTCTGCAGTGGGATTGTCATGAGTTGTGTAGTTGTGGGTGATGTTAGACAGCAGTAGACCCAGGTTGTAGTGAAAATAATGGGTTTTATTGAAGGAAATAATTAACACAGTCCAGGCAGCACAGGTGAGCAACAACATTAGCTCTAACTCTGGTAGCAACTGGTAGTCAGCAACACAACGGAAGACAGCTAGACACGAAAAGGATCCGACAAGGAGCATGGAACACAGGTGGGATTAAATACATAAGGGGAAATCAGGGAACACGAGACACAGCTGGGAGCAATCAAGTGCAGACGAGACAACACAGGAACTAAATTGACATACAGAACACCAAATCCTCACAGTATTTGGTTCCTCAAGGGCGACTACTAGATGCCTAAAAAGTCCAAAAACAACCCAACTAAGGTGGGCGGAGGGGCGCTGGACCAGAGTTCAAGGAAAAACACAAATAAAACAAAATAAACTCAGTCCAAAACCAAACAGGGCCATGAACTGTCCGGTTGACAATGGCGACGTAGGAGGTGGACCCATGGTGGCGGGTCCGGATGCCGGCAACAGTGCAGGAGGCGGACCCATTGTGGAGGATCTGGCGGGCGACAATGGTGCAGGAGGTGAATCCCATGAGAAGCTACAGTGGATGACCTGGACACTGCATGGACCCACTTAGAGGTGGAGGCGGTCTGTCCTGAGGCTGGCTGGACCCACGAAAAGGCGGAGGCGGTCGGCCATGGGGCCGGCTGGACCCACAAATAGGCGGAGGCAGTCTGCCCTGAGGCCGGCTGGTCCCACAAAGAGGCGGAGGCTGTCAGCCCTGAGGCTGGCTGGACCCACGTAGAGGTGAAAGCGGTTGGCCCTGGGTCCAGCAGGAGCCACAGGGTAGCAATGGAACAGGTATGTGCTTGGGTTCCAGGAGGCTTGGCTCTGGCAGCTCAGGGACTAGGCGGGCACAGAGAGACTTACTGGGGGTCTTGGACGGAGCACAGGAATATTCACTGGGGGTCTCGGTTGGAGCACAGGGACGCTTGGAGGGAGCGCTGAGCGATTCACTGGAGGGCTTGGACGGAGCACCTGGCCCGTTTACTGTTGCCGGTGCTCAATAAACGGCAACAGTCTGCTTGCCTGCCGTCACAGGCAAGCAGACTGTGATGGCAGGAAGAAAGCAGACTGCGGCAGCAGGAGGACAGCACTCTTGGTCTGGTGACTGGAGACCAAGACAAAGCTCAGGTGAGCGAAGGCCAGTGAGGAGTTCAGAGGACCGGGGAACAGCGGAAGGCTCTGGAGATGGCTGGGCAGCCTGGAGTCTGGAAACCGGCCACACCATCAACCATGCTACCTGTTGACCAGCTGACAGTCGAGCTGCTTGAAACCCCAAGACCAGGGGTACTGTGGCTGGTGGGATGGCTGGGGATGGTGCTGCAGAATGAGAGGGGACTGGAGCTGTGGAAATGGACGAAGAGTGAAAGATGGGAATGTCTGGCTTGGGCGGCAGTGGTTTGCCGGCCATGACAGCTAAATCTGCCTGGCGATGCCACTCCGCCTCTTCCAACAACTCTGTGAAGTTCATGAAGGGGAGACGGGGGGACCAGTATTGAAGAGCCAAAACAGTTTGTGGTTACACCAAAGCATCTGGGGATGGAGCATGGTTTCGCCACAGTGTCTACAAGCTTACGACTTGTTGTAAGCTTTCTATTCCTTCTGGGTATATGTGAAGTTGCTTCTTCTCTTTTCCATGAATCTCATCGTAGTCTTGGTCAGATCCTTCTGTCATGAGTTGTGGAGTTATAAGTGAGGTTAGACGGTGGTAGACCCAGGTTGTAGTGAGAATGGTTTTTAATGAAGGAAACAATTAACAAGGTGAGCAACAAGATTAACTCTAACTCTGGTAGCAACTAGTAGTCAGCAACACAACGGAAGACAGCTAAGACAGAATAGACATGACATTGATCTGACAAGGAGCAGGGAACACAGGTGGGATTAAATACACAAGGGGTAATGAGGGAACACGAGACACAGGGGCAGACGAGACAACACAGGAACTAAATTAACATACAGAAAACCAAATCCTCACAGGGATGCTACCAGAAAACCTTGGATATCTGAGGTCTGGGCATCTGAAAACATTTTCCATGGATGCCCAAACCACTCCAGTAGACTCTTTTCAATACCTAGCAAGCTCCATACCCCATCTCTTGGGCAGAATCCACCTGTTCTACAAAGGAAGGTCATTTTGGTCGCTTGTATCCATGAATCCTACCCAAGTTCAAGTCCCAATTTTAACCCAATTTCAGTAGTTTCTACCATCTCCTTAGTTTAGTGCCCAAGTCCTTAAGAGCTTCTTCAACACACCTCTCGAGGACTAGAGTTTGGGACTGCTGCTTTAAAAGTTTTCTCTGTTTGATGTATCTGAAAGACTTTACTTTTCTTAAACTCTAGACCAGTGGTTCTTAACCTTTTTTGAGGTACC